ATTTTCAATTTTAAATTTTTTTAATTTTCCGGTTATTCAATTTTTAGAAATTTCGTTTTTCTATTTTTCATTTTTCTAATTTTTCGATTTTTCAATTTTCCCATCAAAATTTCAAATATTTCGAAAACCATCTGATTTTAGGGATTTTCCAGTTTTCTATTTCTTTTTTTTTTTTTCGGTTCGTCGACATCTCTATTTTTAAGGTTTTGTCATTTCCGTGTTTCAATTTGTCAATTTTTTATATTTTTTTAATTTTTATAATTTTCGTTTTCGATTTCATTAATTTGAATTTGTGGATTTTTCATTTTTCCAAGTTTTCTGATTTTTCAGTTTGTAGATTTTTCAATTTAGATTTCTCTATTATTCAATTTTTATTAATTTTTTTTTAGTTTTTTCGATTTTTCAATTTTTAATTTCTCAACTCCTCAATTTTTGAGTTTTGCAATTTCTTAATGTCACAATTTTTCCATCAAAAATTCGGATATTTCGAAAAACATTCAATTTCTGATTTTTCGGATTTTCCAATTTTCTATTCTTTCTTTTTTTCGGTTCTTCAACATCTCTAGTTTTAATTTTTTTGTTATTTGCGTGTTTCAATTTTTAGATTAATTTTTTTTATTTTTATAATTTTCGTTTTGTTGATTTTTCATTTTTCTCATTTTTCGATTTTTCAATTTTCTGATTTTTCCATTAATCAATTTTTATTTTGCCAAAAATATTTCCAAAACGATCGATTTTTGATTTTTCGGTTTTTCCAGTTTTCTATTCTTTCTTTTTTCGATTCTTCAACATCTCTAGTTTTAAATTTTTTACTTTCTGGGTTTCAGTTTTTCATGATTTTGTTTTATTTTTCGAAGTCTTCTGATTTTTCAATTTCACAGTTTTGCTTAATGTCGAATACACATTTCTAAAACAGTTCAGTTTCCGATTTTTCAATTTAGATTTTTAATTTTTCGGTTATTCAGTTTTAGAATTTTCGCTTTTTCAATTTTCATTTTTACTATTTTTCAATTTTGCAGTTTCTTAATGTCAAAATTTTCCCATCAAAATTTTAAATATTTTAAAAAACATTCAATTTCTGATTTTTCGATTGTTCAACTTTTCTATTGACCTATTTTCCGATGTTTAATTTTTTCCATGAGTCAGTTTTCCTATTCCTCAATTTTTGATTTCATTTTTCCAATTTTTCGATTTATCAATTTTACAATTGTACTAAATCGAAGTATTTCGAAAACCGCTCGATTTTTTATTGTTCGATTAGTTCATTTTTCAATTTTGATTTTTCACTTTTCCGATTGTTCAATTTTTTGATTTCTGATTTGAATTTTCCGTGTTTCGATTTTTCGATTTATGAATTTCTCGATTTTTTATTCTTTCCATGAAACCATTTTCCGATTCTTCAGTTTCTGACATTTTGATTTTACTAATTTTCGATTTCATTTTTCCAATTTTTTAATTTTCCGACAAATTAAATTTCATACTTTTGCAAAATTTCGAAGTTTTTCGAAAACCTGATCTTTCGATTAGCCCAATTTTTCTGGATGTAGATTCTTGAGTTTTTTTATTTTTTCGTATTTCGATTATTTTACTCCTAATTTTTATAATTTCCTATTTCCCAATTTTACAAAATTTCGAGAATTTCGAAAACCGTTCAATTTTTGATTTTTTGATTAATTGGTTTTTCAATTTAGACTTCTCAGTTTTTCGATTCTTCGGATTTTTAATTCTTAGAATTTTCCCAACTTCAGTTTTTGATTTTTTTATTTTGATTTTTTCGATTTCCAAGTTCTCAATTTCGCAGTTTCTTCATCTCTCAAAGTTTTGATCAAAATTTTAAACATTTCGAAGACGAAACAAATTCTGATTTTTAGATTTTTCAATTTTTCGATTATTCGAATTTCAATTTGTCCATGAATCAGTTTTCCGATTTTTCGATTTTTGATTTTTGATTTCGTTTTTTCAATTTTACAATTGTACAATTGTAGAAAATTTTGAAATATTTCGAAAACCGTTTAATTTCTGATTGTTGGGATTATTTATTTAATTTTGCATTTTTTTCTTTTCTTAATATCCATTGTCTTTCCTTCACACCAAACAAAAAAACACTTCTCTTTTGCTTTTTTCTGAATATACTTAGTCTTCTTTTCACAATGAAATATTTAAAACACATTTAAAATAAATTCTGAGGGATAGTTAAGACTGTTACGGGGACGTATAGTGCTTAGACTTTTTTTTTTCCTAGTTACCAAAATCCGGAGGTACCAGCAGAAACTATTTGGTTGTTTGGCCAAGAAAATTATGAAAAAAATATATTAATAAAAGTCGTAACAAAACAACGACAGTTAACAAAAAGCAGCCAAAAAAGAGGGAGTGCAAAAAAAGAATAAAGAAAGACGACAAAAGGACAAAAGCCTAACTAAATAAAGGTGACGAAGAAGGCGTCCAAAAACGACAAAAAAGGGAATAAAAAACGAGAACAAAAAGGGTCTAAAAAGCAAAAATGCGTAAAAAAAGGCGACCAAAAAATGGGATTAAAAAGTTACAAGGAAAATTCAGCAAATTACGGCAACAAAATTACGACAAGGAAAACTATAATCACTAAAAAAAGGAAAATAAAGAAAGACGACAAAAGAAGCAACAGAAAAATACGAAACTAGGCGAGCAAAAAGCTAAGAAAAAAGCGGGAAAAAAATCTGCAAAAGGCCACAAAAAACGACAAGAAGGAGAACAATGAAAGAAAAGAATCCAAAAAAAAACGAGAAGAAAGCAATAGAGAAAGGTGGGGAAAACGATTAAAAACTACAAAAAAGGCAAATAAAGTATCGGTATAAAGTCCATTAAAGACAAGAAAAGAACAAAATATCCAACAAACCAAAGGCGACAAAGAAGGCTCAAAATAAAAAAAAGCGATAAAAAAGGGAACACAAAACGAGTTTAAAAGCGCGTAAAATAGGCAGTCAAAACAGGCACAAAAATGAGGCACCAAGAAACATGACGAAATATCGATTAAAAAAGCCAAAGAAAAAGTCGCAATAAAATGGCCACTAACCAAAACGCCCAAAAAAAGAGGAGAGCGTAAAATAAATAAAGACAAATTTTTGACATTTTCGACCAATTTTCGAAATAGTTGAAAACATTTTCTTGTAGATTTCGACATCCAGAAGTCATTTTCGGCTTCATTTCTTCGGAAATTCCTACCGTTTTTACAAAATCGCCAACTGAAATATAGCAATGTTTACAGTTCCGTCAAAACAGCTCGGTATAAAAATTTTCCGGATAAAAGAAGAAATAATTATTAATTTTGGTTTCATAATATACAATTATTTCAAGAATGTTTAAAATTTGTTTATTTGAGACACTAGAAAAGTCAGAACAGGACAGGTCACGTTGGGTCAACTCAACAGAAGAACATAGTTAGCCCCGCCCACCCACCCTGTCTGTGTTTTAGTGATTGATTTTATCCGGTCTGAATGAAATGAATGATCTTATAATAATACTGAACAGAAATAAAATTACTCGTTAGAATAAGAAGAAGGGGGGGGGGGGGGCTAGTATTTGCTAAGATAAGACTAATTTTGGCAAATCAAATACCTTCCAAGAAACTAGAGGGTGGGGGGGCGGGCTAGTATTTGATAAAATGACACTAATTTTGGCACAGATGTTGCAGTAACTTTTGTACTTTCAGTAATAATTTGTCTAAAATCATATGTGGTAAAACGTTCTTGTAACCTGTTGTCAAAATGAAAATGGATATTCAGGTCGCCAGTAATGATAATATTTTCATACTGAGGTATCACATAGGACAGAAAATTGTCAAAGAACTCAGTGGTATCCTCTAACTTACATTTAGATTTATAAAAAATACCTATAAGAAAACTTCTCTTCTTTCCTTCCCCTGTTATTCTTCCATTTTCTTAATTTTTCCCTTGCTTTTCTCTTCAACGCACTACATTCTCCGTTCCATCCATTATTCCTCCCTTGCCATATGTATTCATCAAATATTCTTTTTTCTATTTCTTTTCTTCCGTTTCTTCTCTCTTGTTTTTCGTACTCTTGCTCTTTTCCTTTCATTTTTGTTTCTAGCGGCATGTGGTCTGATTCCACCCTTTCCCCCACTTTAAAACTCTCTATTTCTTCCCACACCTCTTCGTTGACAATGCTCGAACGACTTCAAGTGTTAATTTCTTTATTAATAAATCACCGTCCACAATCATAGTGTAAGAATTCGAAAATTTATTTTCAGTCATTTACTCAGTCATAACTAAATGACTCAGTATTTACTTTTTAATCCAAATCTGCAAAACCCAAACGACACAGTTTTATGACTTGAATCATTCGTTACGATACACATTTATTAGTCGATAATAACACAAAAATTTAACGCCTATAGGATATTTTGTGACGGCATTAGCACAATACAGTCATAAATAACAGTTCGCTGCAAATGCAAATTCTGCTATCTATTATTGCCACTATTCAAGAGGTGGAGATTAAGATTACGTTTATCACGGATGGTGTTTAATTAGATCGGTGCCGTAATCCTTTCGTAAAAAAGAAAATGAAATCGAAGCTCGTTGCAACGCAGAACGGTGTCAGAAATATGCTTTAATTTGCGAAAAACGAAGAATGTTGATGCGGTAAGTGGCCGAGTCCTTCACGAAACGCAATAAGACGCCATCGCATCCATAACAATTGCCTCGGTGACATCACTACCACACTGGCAATTTCATTAATTCGAGAAAATTAGTCGAACATATGTAAATTATTTAGCGACAAAGTGTTATTGCGCTATATAAAACGTAATTTAACAATTACAATGTTATTATGCCCTCTTATCGTGGGATACCACTAATTAACACTGTTTGTTGTCATCGGTGCGCTATTACCATCTTTCTATCTCTCTCTCTCTCGCTCGTTCGTTGGTCTGTCTATGTGTTCGAGATTTGTTTTAGTGTGTTTGTTATTCATTTATTCTGAATGTTGGTTTCTGTGTGTTACAGAAGAACAATGCTACCATTGCATGGCGAGTCTCGTAGCGGCTAAAGAAAAAACCTTCATCACTCAAACGAAGCTCTTGTACGAAGTCACGTGGAAGACAGTGATGCAGATCTGCAAGAAACACGTGGTGAGTTTCAATTTTTCTTTTTTTCTTTCTTCAATTTTCCTATATGTAAATCATTAAATTTTTAGATTTTGCAGTTTTTCGATTTGAAGGTTCACGAGATTTAATTTTCAATTTTTAGATTTTTCAGTTTTTCATTTCTTCAGTTTTTCGAAAAAAAAACGAAAGTTATTCTACGTGACTTGCATTAGGTGTACAGTGCAAAATTGTTGAAAAATAGATTGACTTTATGTTTTTTTATTATAATATCTCTTGTTCTTTGCGCCAAAAAATTGTTGAAAGAAAACTACGTATATAAAGAAAAAAAAAAAGATTAAAAGAAAACTCTATACAGGGTGTTATTGAAAGGTACGTACAACAAAATTGACAGTTCTTCGCGAAGCCTAAGAAGTCTGAAAAACTTATATTGTCTTATCAAAATTGCAAGGGGAAAATTAACCCTTATCCAACCTTTTTAGACGCTACTGAGAGATAAATAAGGTAAAATTAATTTATTTTAGTAAATCTTAGCAACTGTAATAATAAAACTTTTGTCAACGTACAACGAATTTGGACAAAAATTTTAATAATTTTTATCTCTAAAAGGAGAACACTTTTACCTGAACTTTTTTAACTTTTAGCACCCATACTTCGAGACCAATTGCCGATTTTATTTTGTACGTACCTTTCAATAACACGCTGTATATTAAATAAAAAAATAAACAAAATTAAGCCCCACCCACCCGCCCCGGTCTCAATTGCGATGATTTTTTTGAGGGGGGTCTAATTATAACATCAATATTTCTCTTACAAATTCTACTATTTTAAAAACATTTCGTATGGTCATTTTTTGCAGAGAAAGGAGGATTTTGCAAACTAAAGTCCGCCCTTCAGCTCACGATGACTAATCACAATTGAGAAGGGGTGGGTGGGCGGGCCTTATATTTTGTTCATTTAATAAACATATTTCGTATGGTAATTTCTGGTAGAGAAGTGAGGATTTTGCAGCTAATCTCCGCCCTTTAGCTCACGATGAATAAGGCATTCATCACAATTGAGAAGGGGTGGGTGGGCGGGGCTTATATTTGGTCCATTTTTTTCTTAATATACGAAATCTTTTTTTCCTAACAAGAAACTGAAAACACGTTTAGCTTTTCTGCAGTTGAAAGAAAACTATTTATATTAAAAAAAATAATAAATAAGCCCCACCCACCCGCCCCGATGCCAATTGTGATGAGTTTTTCATTCCAAATCAGATCGAAGAGCGGAGTCTAATTATAATATCAATATTTCTCTAAAAAAATCTACCATTTTAAAAACATATTTCGTATGGTAATTTCTTGTAGAGAAAGGAGGATTTTGTAATTAAACTCCGCCCTTTAGCTCATAATGAATAAAACATTTCTCTAAAAAAATCTACCATTTTAAAAACATATTTCGTATGGTAATTTCTTGTAGAGAAAGGAGGATTTTGTAATTAAACTCCGCCCTTTAGCTCACAATGAATAAAACATTCATCACAATTGAGAAAGGGTGGGTGGGCGGGGCTTATATTTTGTCCATTTTTTCTTAATACACGAAATCTTCTTTTCCCAACAAAAAACTGAAACATGTTTAACTTTCCTGTTGTTGAAAGAAAACTCGATATATTAAAAAAAAAAAAACAAAAATTAAGCCTCACCCACCCGCCCCCATCTCAATTGTGATGGGTTTTTCATTCGTAATCAGACCGAACGGCAAGGTCTAATTAGGTAATTTCTTGTAGAGGGATGAGGATTTTGCAAACTAAACTCCACCCCTCAACTCATAATGAATAAAACATTCATCACAATTGAGAACGGGTGGGTGGACGGGGCTTATATTTTGCCCATTTTTTCTTAATATACGAAATCTTCTTTTGCAAACAAGAAACTGAAAACACATTTGGCTTTCCTGCAGTTGAAAAAAAACTCTATATTAAAAAAAAACAAAAATTAAACCCCACCCACCCGCCCCGATCTCAATTGTAATGACTTTTTCATTCCTAATTAGATCGAAGGGCGAGGTCTAATTAGGTAATTTCTTGTAGAGAAATGAAGATTTTCCAAACTAAACTCCGCCCTTCAACTCATGGTGAAAAAAATATTCATTGCAATTGAGAAGGGGTGGGTGGGCGGGGCTTATATTTTGTCCATTTTGTCTTTAACATACGAAGTGTTCTTTTCCCAACAAGAAACTGAAAACATGTTTAACTTTCCTGTTGTTGAAAAAAAAAATCAATATATTCAAAAAAACAAAGATTAAGCCCCACCCACTCGCCCCGATCTCAATTGTGATGGGTTTTTCATTCCTAATCAAACCGAACGGGGAGGTCTAATTAGGTAATTTCTTGTAGAGAAATGAGGATTTTGTAAACTAAACTCCGTCCTTCAACTCATGATTATTGAAACATTTATCACAATTGAGAAGGGGTGGGTGGGCGGGGCTTGTATTTTGTCCATTTTTTCTTAATACACGAAATCTTCTTTTCCCAACAAAAAACTGAAACATGTTTAACATTCCTGTTGTTTAAAGAAAACTCGATATATTAAAAAAAAAAAAAAACAAAAATTAAGCCTCACCCACCCGCCCCCATCTCAATTGTGATGGGTTTTTCATTCGTAATCAGACCGAACGGCAAGGTCTGATTAGGTAATTTCTTGTAGAGAAATGAGGATTTTGCAAACTAAACTCCGCCCTTCAACTCATAATGAATAAAACATTCATCACAATTGAGAACGGGTGGGTGGGCGGGGCTTATACTTTGTCCATTTTTTCTTAATATACGAAATCTTCTTTTCCCAACAAGAAACGGAAACATGTTTATCTTTTCTGTTGTTGAAAGAAAATTCTATATGTAAATGTATTAAAAAAAAAAATTGAAACGATCTCAATTGTAATGAGTTTTTCATTCCAAATCAGACCGAAGGGCGGGGTCTAATTATAATATCAATATTTCTCTAAAAAAAAATCTACCATTTTAAAAACATATTTCATATCGTAATTTTTTGCAGAGAAAGGAGGATTTTGCAATTAAACTCACGATGAATAAAATATTCATCACAATTGAGAAGGGGTAGGTGGGCGGGGCGTATATTTTGTCCATTTTTTCTTAACATACGAAGTCTTCTTTTCCCAACAAGAAACTAAAAACACGTTTAGCTTTCCTGTTGTTTAAAGAAAACTCTATTTATTAAAAAAAAAAAAAATTAAACCCCACTCACCCGCCCCGATCTCAATTGTAATGAGTTTTTCATTCCTAATCAGACCGAAGGGCGAGGTCTGATTAGGTAATTTCTTGTAAAGAAATGAGGATTTTGTAAACTAAACTCCGTCCTTCAACTCATGATGCATAAAACATTCATCACAATTGAGAACGGCTGGGTGGGCGGGGCTTATACTTTGTCCATTTTTTCTTAATATACGAAGTCTTCTTTTCCCCACAAGAAACTGAAACATGTTTTACTACTTGTTGTTGAAAGAAAATTCTATATATGTATTAAAAAAAAAAAAACAAAAATTAAAACGATCTCAGTTGTGACGAGTTTTTCATTCCAAATCAGAGCGAAGGGCGGGGTTTAATTATAATATCAATATTTCTCTAAAAGAAGTCTACCATTTTAAAAACATATTTCATATGGCAATTTTTTGCAGAGAAAGGAGGATTTTGCAATTAAACTCACGATGAATAAAATATTCATCGCAATTGAGAAGGGGTGGGTGGGCGGGGCATATATTTTGTCCATTTTTTCTTAACATACGAAGGCTTGTTTTCCCAACAAGAAACTGAACACATGTTTAGCTTTCCTGCTGTTGAAAGAATACTCTATATATTAAAAAAAAAAACAAAAATTAAACCCCACCCACCCGCCCGGATCTCAGTTGTAATGAGTTTTTCATTCCCAATCAGACCGAAGGGCGAAGTCTAATTAGGTAATTTCTTGTAGAGAAATGAGGATTTTGCAAACTAAACTTCGCCCTTCAACTCATGATGAATAAAACATTCATCACAATTGAGAAGGGGTGGGTGGGCGGAGCTCATATTTTGTCCATTTTTTCTTAACATACGAAGTCTTCTTTTCTCAACAAGCAACTGAAAACATGTTTAACTTTCCTGTTGTTGAAAGAAAACTCTATGTATTAAAAAAAAAAACAAAAATTAAAACGATCTCAGTTGTGATGAGTTTTTCATTCCAAATCAGACCGAAGGGCGTGGTTTAATTATAATAGCAATATTTCACTAAAAAAAAATCTACCATTTTAAAAACATATTTCATATGGTAATTTTTTGCAGAGAAAGGAGGATTTTGCAATTAAACTCACGGTGAATAAAATATTCATGACAATTGAGAAGGGGTGGGTGGGCGGGGCGTATATTTTGTCCATTTTTTCTTAACATACGAAGTCTTCTTTTCCCAACCAGCAACTGAAAACATGTTTAATTTTCCTGTTGTTGAAAAAAAAACTATATATTAAAAAAAAGAAAGATTAAGCCCCACCCACCCGCCCGAATCTCAATTGTGATGAGTTTTTTATTCCTAATCAGACCGAAGGGCGGAGTTTAATTGTAGAATCAACATTTCTCTAAAAGATTCTACCATTTTAAAAACATATTTCGTACTGTAATTTCTTTTAGAGAAATGAAGATTTTGTAAACTAAACTCCGCCCTTTAACTCATGATGAATAAAATATTCATCACAATTGAGAAGGGGTGGGTGGGCGGGGCTTATATTTTTCCATTTTTTCTTAAAATACGAAGTGGTCTTTTCCCAACAAGAAACTGAAACATGTTTCTCCTTCCTGTTGTTGAAAGAAAATTCTATATATGTATTAAAAAAAAAAAAAACAAAAATTAAAACGATCTCAATTGTGATGAGTTTTTCATTCCAAATCAGCGCGAAGGGCGGGGTTTAATTATAATATCAATATTTCTCGAAAAGAAATCTACCATTTTAAAAACATATTTCATATGGTAATTTTTTGCAGAGAAAGGAGGATTTTGCAA